GAACATCTCAGGTATATTTTATTAAACCTCAGCTTCTGTAAAAACTTCCCATCCATCACTAAGTTTATCCTCACCATCACCATATTAGTAAGCACATTTATCTTTTCGTCAATTCAGATTTCAAAGCAACACCTGAAATCAAATTTGTCAATTTATATGGTAGTCCCTCGAAGTTCCATTTTTTTGCAGGGCAATACATGAGTAATACTTCTAGGTAATCTTTTTTTCTGTTTTCTGAAAATGTTGAATTCATGTTTCATAAAAGATGTCAACAATTGACCATACAACAACTTTTATTCCGCTCCCTTAGTTATCATACTCTCTCTCATCCTATCTCCATTTTATCAATTTTGCAGAACGTAGCCTTAAAACTCAGTGTCACTCTGTAAATTGAAGCAGAAGAAGGAATTATGTCATACATGACTTTTAAGGTTAGATTCTTAAGAACTCACCATTTTCTCAAAACTTAGCCATCCATTGTCACTCCATAAATATTTGCAACTCATGTCACTTTTCTTTAATATATGTAATTTTTTTTTATCAGTCATGTCTGTTATTTGGAATCTTTGATTTGAAGTTGATGAAGAATATTAATAGTTTACATTAGTTTCCAGAATTTAGCATTTCATCATTTACATTGCAAAATATGTTCTTATAAGACAATTAATACCATTGAGCATTAGGTCTCCTAATTAACTGCTTCTACTTTCATACTTGGGGGGACTATCTATCCTCAATTTTCTGTTCTTAAATATCTTTCCTTATCTTATATTTTCCACTATATTTTCATGATCAGTACATATAGTACTTCTTTTTCCGTTAATATATTTCTTTTTTCATGTGCAGGCATGGAACCTTAAGTGGTAATAGATTATATTCTTTTCATGAGGAAGTCACTTGACAAAGCAAAAATGTATCAAGTATGCCTTCTAGATCATTTAAAAGTCTTATTTAAGCATTAGTGCTTTACATTTGAGCATATATAGTCTTTCCAACTGAGTACTATCATACATTTTATTTGTTTGAGAATTAATTTTGTGTATTGTAGTTGTTCACTGTTCAGTATCTCATTCATTAAGCCACAAGGCCTTTTAGAAGTAAGTTAAGGAGAATAGCAGATACAAAGTAGCTTATGGACTTTGATGAAGGTCTGTTAGTGTAAAAGTAATTCTCAACTTAAAATTCATCTAAAATGAATATGCTTTTGTTATTTGCTCCACTTATGACTTGTACAGTTTATCATAAAGTTCATTGTTGTTTGTTTGTTTGTTATCTTCTTCGCTGATTATTTGATATTAATTTCTGTTTCTTCAGTTCTAGCTGCAGTTGTGCAAACTTCAGTTGTCAGTAGACGGTCCCTTACTTGAGTTGAGTATCACAGCCTCATTTCCAATTAGCGTAAACCACATTCTTTCAGAGAGATAGTTAAAGGTATGTCACTGCAAAACCTCAAGAAATGTATTTGTTGGACTGTGGTTTGGCTTTGAGAATCATAAATAATCAATCAGTCTGATTAGTACTTTCTTGCTTTCATATATCATCTACTTAGGATGAGCAATTTTGTGCTAGAGGCTCAAGATTTTGTTCTGGATGGCAACGTCTTCAATAGGAGGTAGGTGAAGTGCTCTAAATGATAGCTTTGTTTACAAATTAGTTTATTTTATCAGCTCAATAGAAAAGTTCAATCATTTGAACGCAGTTTTACCGTTCGTCATGCAGGATTATCAACTTCTTTGATACATCAAGGAGCTAACTAGACTTTGCTTTTCTGCACTTTGATTATTCTATAGAGACTTACTACATGACAATGGCTGCTACATTTCAATCATCTACCATTTTGATCCCAATGGCAGTAGAATTATATGGGTTATGAGTTTTGATATAAGATTCGGTGAACAGAGCTTCTACTGAAGATATGGTGGAAAAAAAAATTCTAGATGTTTGTTTGTACTTTGATATTCACATAGTGAAGTATTCTCCTAATTCTGTCTGTACACTAAATCTGTTTCTTTGAACTTCTTTGATTATCTGTTTTCGTATCTAATGGTCATGCCGTACCTCATGTCTAAAACACTATCTGTAATGGTGCACTCTTTTGGGTGTTGAAGTTTATATATCCAATGAAATATGTTGCTTGCACTAGTCTTAAATGTTCAACTCCGACGTGTCTAGGGAAGCTAACATGTGTACTGATTTCCTGGAGAATATGGATCACAACCTCCCTTCTTTTGTCTGTCATCATCTGAAACGCTGGCCCTTTGGCCTGGGGATGTTCTTGTATGCTGATATGAATGGGACTGCGTTTCCCGAATTTTTGTGGAATTCTATTTTATTTATGAATGTTTTTCTCTCTTTTCACCCAAAAAAAAAACAAAAAAAGATGTTGCTTGCAATGCTTTTTGATGTAGGAAGGCTTTTAAGACTCATAGTACTTCTTGCCAGGAGACTACAAAACATTAAAGAACTCAGAAATGTGATTAGAGAAGGCGCAGGCTTTTCCTATGGGGTTATATTTGTTGTCCTCTAAATTTTATATTGTTATCACCATGCAAATTAATTTATCAAAAAGTAACGACTCTGTTTGTCATGATATTACAAAGTTTTTGTATGGAAGGGGAAACAAACATTTAGAAAATTCAGAAGTAATTTTATAAAGACCTATTTGGTCTAACAAAGAAATTTGGTAAAATGGTTGATTTTAGAATGGGGCGAAGCAATCTAACAAATATGAAATATTGACGCCCAAAATACGGCAAAAGTCGACTTAATCAATAATTCTAACCCAACTTGTTCATTTAAAATGAGTGACACTTAAGAATTCTTGGCCTTTAAACTCATTTTACTTTATTCATTTGATGGCGTAACTTGTGTAGGTGAATAGACAACTCACAATATAACGAAACAAGTTGGTTCTCACCCCACTTCACAAAAGTAACAGTGATTCAATCATCTTATTTTAAGTGTAAAGAGGATGCTTATACATATTTGGTTCTTAGAAAAACTTCATAAAATTAAAGTTAATTATCTTAATAATAACTATTCCAATATTTCTTTGCTAAAGATCTTATGTATTTCAACCAAATGTAAGCTTGGAACAATTGAACTATACTTGAG